CAGGGTAAGGATAGAGAGTGTTCATTGGAGTTTGTGGTGCAGAGCTAATGGGGTGCTGAAGAAAAGCTATTTCAGTGGAATGATAGAGACAGAAAGCAGTGTATAATGGTTTGAGGAACAACTAGGGAAACGTGCAGAGTAGAGACAGAGGGTTGTCTTCACTAAGAAAGAAGAGAGAAGTAGATGGCAGGGGTTTTAGAGTCTGAGGAACTGCATGTGTGTGTTACTGGTTGCAGAGATTCTAGAATGTTTAGAATACAAGGAAGGAAGTGTGGGATAGTGATTCAGGGGCAAAAGACAGGACAGACCCCTGGGAGGCTAGAGGGCATGGGATCCAGAGAGATGCCTTACTGATGTTCCGAGGAACGGTGCCATCATTGCAATGAAGGCAACAAGACTAAGTGGAGGGAAATTAGTTAAAAAGTATCAGTCATATCACATTACAGCCACATCTCACCTTCAATTTTTATCACCTTTAATTGTACAATTAGTTTTCTTGGCTTTGTGGATGAGTTACCAACTTGAAGTGAGAAAATATTTGGCTGTTAAATTTGAATATTCTTTTGTTCGGTGGTTAAGGACGGGCAAATGATTAGATGAGAGATGAATAAGGATGATGCATTTTTATAGTCATTGAATTAATTTCAATATGAAATACAAATACATCTTGATAAATTTCTGGCTGTCACATTATGATTTAAAAGCAAAATGATCATTGGTGAGCATTCCTGAGATGATGTGTTTCCTTCAAAAGTCGAGGATTCTTTAGACACTCATTCATCCACCAAATAGTTATGAAGCGTTTGCTGCGTCCCAGGCACTGTGTCAGGCATTGCTGATATGGCTGCAAAGATGGCGTTTTCAGTCCTTCTTCTGATGTTGCTCACAGTTCAGTAGAAGCTGCAAGGAAGCAAACAGGCCGTTATAGTATGACGAGTTCTAGGAGGAAGGATGCAGAGAGGCAGGGTGAAGAAAAGCCACCCAAAGGGCACTAGCTACAGAAGTGACTGGTAGTGAATGAAATGGGTCAGGGAAGGCAGAAGGCATCTTTGCTGAACTGATGGGGGTGGAGCAAAGGCCTGAAAAATGGTAGAAAATCTGTCAAGAGGGTACTCTGGGGTGGTAAGGTGGGTGAGTAGGGACAACAAGACACTCCTAGCAGCAGGATGAAGAGTTAGCTTGGGGAATTTGGAGACTTCCACATCATTTAATGTGACTGAAGCATTTGGTGCAGAAAGAATGAAGAACAAATGCTGAAAAAGATGGTGAATTGGAGAAGGAGTTGCCTTTAAAAGGTCTTGTAAGGAGTTTGGGCCTAATCTAAGATGGGTGGGACGCCAGTGGAGGGTGCTCAGTAAAGGGGTACAGATGGATTAGAGTCATGTTTTACGAAGATTGCTTTGATTGTAGCATGGAGTCAGATTGAAACAGATCAAGATTGAAGACGGAAAGACCAGAGGAAAAATGCTAGAGGCCTGATTCAAGGCAGTGCCACTGGCAAGAGAGGAAGAAAAAATACTTAGGAAACAGCTGGGAAGCTGAATCATTAGGGCTTCTTGGTGAATCAGTGGGAGGAGAGAGAGGGCTGGGTGGTGGGGCCACAGAACAGTATGGGCAAGGTGGGAGGAGAAAAAATTTGATTATGAAGGACCATTATCTTTCTATACTCATCCATGTCAGAGTGACAACCCAAGTTTAGGTGAGGCAAAGATGTATTTTTAATCCTATGCTTTTTTAATCCTATGCATGCTTTTTAATCCTATTGTTTGGGCTTAATCATGCTAACCTAACGGTGTGAGCTCCTCTGCTTTTGGTAAGTTTTAAGCAAAGCAAAAGAAAGGCATTCACCTGTGGCCCTTGAGAAACAAGCCTGCCTCATTACCAACTCTGGTGCCTACAAGGCAAGAAATAATAAACATCCCACTTTTAATGTAACAAACTTTCCACACCCCACCCTCACCCCAGGCATCTATACCCATAAATCAAAACCCTCTTAAGTCATGGAATGAAAAAATAGAAAAAAAAAACATTAAAAGCAAACAAAAAGTGCTTCCTGTAGGGTGAATGGAAACTTTTGCCCAGTTTATTTTCCAGACACATGAAAAGTAGTTCTGAATATTTAAAACCACAAGTAATTTTGTTCTTGACTAAGAGTTTTGAGAAGGCAAAGCATGGCAAGGATCACATGCAGGGGACTTTGAAATAAAACACCATTTACTTAGAAGCAAGCGCTGCTCCACTTTAAGATCAGTTACCACCAAATGGCCTATAAACTGAGAGGTGAGATGGTTGGGAAAAAGCAAACAGATTCATATCAAATAAAAACACACATATACAATTGAACTAAAGATGAATTCAACCATAATTCGTGCAGCTTTTCTTCCCTTGAGGTAGAAACATTGCACCTAGGTTTTATTTGGAAATCTTTTTTGCATTAAATTATTTCAAAACTAAATTAGAACCTATGTATGCTTCATCCATGAAAATATGAGACAAAAAAAATGTTATCAGTCATTTCTGGTTAGATAAATGAGGACCAGCATGTGATCATCGTGTGGTAATTCAGAGTGGGGAATGGGAGTCTCATTGTCTGAGAAGTAAGAGACTGGGCCCTCTGGGACCCCTGGGAGCTTGCTACCCCAATTTCCTCCTTTTCCTTCTCACTATACCCCTCAGTTGCATCAAGAGAAGATGCTTCTAGACCCACAGGCATTGTGCTGGAGTCTTTTCCCCAGAAATAGATGGGCAATGGAAAATAATTGCCTGGCTTCATCACTCATTAGCTACAGGACCCTGGGAAAACTACTCCATCTCTTTAACTCTTGGTCTTCTTATCTATGAAATGAGAATAATAATGGGATCTGCCTCATGGGGTTGTTTGCAAACTGAATGAGATAATGTTTGTGTGGTACAGTGCAGGGTCTGGCACACAGCACATCCTTGATGTTTGTGCTTGGGCACCTGCCTTTGCGTGTCCTCTGGGGAATAGCAGTGGAGCTCTAGAGTTTGTGGCAGCTTCTATCAGACAAACTAAAAGCTCCCCATACTTAGTTCCAGAGCTAGATCACAGCTAGCTTTTTGAAAAAAAGGCAATTATTCTTCATTGCCCATCTGTTTTCTGGGAGAAGACTCTAGCACAACGCCTGTGGGTCTAGAAGCATCTTCTCTTAATGCAATTGGAGGGCGGTGGTGGTGGGTACAGTGAAAAAGAAAAGGAGAAATTGGTGTAGCAAGCTCCCAAGGGTCCCAGAGGGCCCAGTCTCTACTTCTCAGGCTAGCTCAGTTCACCAAACAGCTTCTTTCAGACCCACTGCTGAGCCTCAGGAGCCCTGTGAAAGGCACCTAGGGGAAGCCTCAGCAACTGGGGAAATCACAGCAGGATTAGCCTCCCCCTGGCCTTCTGAAGCCGTTGGCTCTGGTCCTCCATTACTAATTGCTGTTCTAAAGCCCCAAGCCTAACTTCTTTCAGATTCTGGACAGTTTTGATCTTACCCTGTTGTCCTGTCCGGTTGATTTTAGTTTTTTACCTGGCTGTTATCTGTGCAGGCTGACAGTTGGTCACGACCCAGAAGTGTGGCCTGGATCCTCTATTCGGGAAGCTGGTTCAGAGCTCTAGGTGGCAGGATTCACAGGCCTTGGCATGAGTGTTTCTACCTGCTTTGGTTAAGGGTGAGAACTCTGGAGCCAGACTCTCAAAACATCATGCTAACACTTATTAACTATATAACTTGGGTTGGGTACTTTACCTCTCTGTGACTCAGTTTTCTCACCTGTAAAATGGAAGATTAGTGGTTTGCACTGGAATGGTTAAGAGGACTAAATGAGCTAATCCTTGTACATAATATAATAATATAAATGTGTATGCACAATTAGTAACCATTTAAATACATGTAAAACAGTGTAAATGTAACATTAGCTATTATATAGTCATAGTATATTTTACACATATTAGGTATATTATATATTATTTTACATTTAAGTTTATACATTTGCATTAAGATGTATTATTTTATATAAAACATTTATGTACATATAAATATAATTACATTATTATTGTTCTAGTTATTACCTGCTTTATCTTCCTACAGGAGTAGAGAAACTGTGGTGGGTTTTCAACTTTCTTGTTTTTGTTGGAGTCTATTAGTGTGGAATTTTTGGTTTCCACAAACTACTGGAAGGTGTGGAACAGGGTTTAGGTTAGCTTAAAACTGGAAAGGGGGAAGGGAGAGGAGGGAAGAGAGGAGGATGTGTGGAGGGAGGGTAATTGGTGGGACCACATCTACGGTGCATCTTACAAGAGTACATGTGAAACTTACTAAATGTAGACTATAAATGTCTTAACACAGTAACTAAGAAAATGCTATGAAAGCTATGTTGACCAGTTTGATGAAAATATTTCAAATTGTATATAAAACCAGCATATTGTACCCCATGTCTGCATACACAGCGATGATTTAATTAAAAAAAAAAAGAAAAAAACAGAAGGGGAAAACAAAACAAAATAAAAAACTGGCCCAATCATTTGGAAAATTACAATCTACCATTTTGCCAATGATACCCCTGTTTCATATCTCTTCATTCTCTGGAGCAATCAGGAAAAGATAGAAATGTATCAAAACCTGTTTATTATTCATCATGTATTTTTAGAGCCTCTTCTATCCAATAGCCATTGATTAAGAGAAGTAGGGCAATTCTAATAAACAATAGCCATTGTCTCTTTTAATTTGTTTTGTTGGAACCAGAATAAGGGTAAAATTTTCTGCTGTCTTCAAAACTATGGTGACCTATGGATTAAACCCTTAACCCCCATAAGCAATAATGCCTTCCCTATAGCCATTAACATCAAAGACAGAGAACCTCTTAAGTCGGCGGTAAGTGTGACACTACATCAACTCCCAGAAAACCCACTTCCTTTCCAGCAAATAGAAAACAACCGAGAACGTGAATTCACTGTCAGCTTTCAGCATTGAACAAGAGAATTATACCTGTTTCTGGCAAACATGAAGTCAGACCTCTGGTATTTCTTTCTCTTCTGCTTCCAAATTGAAGTTGTGACTGGTAAGTGGCCTACTGAATATTTCTTATTAAGTTATAATTCAAGTGAACATCAAGAAAAATCAAAGGTAGAAAAATTTGGCACCAAATAGAAAGAGGCTTTTTTTTTTTTTTCTTGAAAGTAGGAACAATTTCAGAACAGCCCAAGTACATGGCCAAGGGCACCATGCCACTCATGTCACTATGGATGGCATTGAGTTTGCGTTGCTGCCTTTGATACTGTGTTTTAAGATGAAAAAAGTGTTTCATCAGACCATTAAATTTTAAAATTATCTGCTTGGAGTTACCTGTCAGTGGATAAAGTAGCAGAATAGCTTACTGTTCTGAGAGAAAGATGAAAGGCAAAATGACTTGTGTCAACAGAATGAAAATTAAATAGTCTTGGCATTTGGGCTGGGAATTCTCTCTGTGGTAGAAAATAAAATGGCTTTGAAAAGAAGGATTTGATTTTAATCTTACAGGTATGGTCTGTTGTCTGAAATGCCCAGGCTGCCATAGACTTTTATTGACATTAAGTATCAAGGTTCTCCCTAAAAGGCCAAGGAGGAGTGAATGATGTAAAAATACTTCCTACTCTTGTATACATTTAAAAAATCCTTGAATCCTGATTCTTTCTCATGGATGGTATATCAGACTCTGCATGAACAACTTAAATAATGCTACCTATAATGAAAGTTGATAGACACATCTCTGCTGCCTTTTATTCTGTGCATTTTGTATTACTTTTCTTTTCTCTTTAAATCTTAGCTCTGTTTTGGATGCTGGAAAAGAAAGTGAGATTATATTAACTGGAGAAGTGAGAAGTGAAGGCAGAAGTTTTAGTAGCCACAATCCTATCTAGGAAAAAATAGAGGGTAAAAAAAATAGACTACTTATTTTTATAAAAAATTTAAGAAAAACAAGATAAAATTGATCTAATGTTTGATCTTGTGTTGGCTTAAGGTGAGTTAAATGCTCTTAAATAAAGAGGAATGAGGAATTAAAGTCTAACTGGAATTAGGAATGTAAATAAGGGTTCCAAGGGCAGGTCTGGGCTATTTGACTATTTATGCCTTTTCTGAAGCCTAGTGAAGTCCTTTAGCAGGGTGAATGGCATATGAATAGCTTTGGAATTGATATTCATGTATTGATTCATTCCCTCATTCATTCACGCAGCACTGAGCATTTGCCGTGTAGGCTGGAGATACTGTGCTGGCTGCTGTGAGTAAGATGATGAACAGAACCAGGTCAGGACTTGTTCTCATGAAGCTAACTGAATGATAGGGAGAGAGATGTTAATCAAATAATCCTGTGAATTCATGATAATTAAAGGCAAAACTCAATTCCATGAACAATGCAACAAGGAGCTTAACTAGCTCATGCGGGTGTACAGGTGGGGTGGGGGAGCATGTTTCATTGAAGTCTTGTCTGTAGAAGTAGCACTTGAGCTGAGATTTGAAGGACACACAGGAGTCAATGGAGAGAATGATATGAACATGGGGAAGAACATTCTAGACCATGGAAAGAGTAAGTGCAAATGACCTGTGGCAGGAAGAGATGAGATGAAACTCAGAGAACTAGAAGAAGGCAGATGAGACTGAACACAGAGAAGGAAGAGATTGGGATGGTGCCAGATTAGGCTAGAGGAAAGCCAGACCATTTGTACCCTATGAGTTATGTTGAAGATTTTAGATTTTCTTCCAAGAACATTTGTATAAGTCATCAAAGGGTTTTTTCCACTGCTAAAAATAATTCCACTGTACCGAACCACTTTGGGTAGTTATGGTGGTAGTATATGCTCACAAGATTTGAATTTGTATTGCTGTTATTTCTGTGGAAAGATAGACCTAGCTGAAAGTGGGATTACTTCAAGTTGGTGGACTAAGCTGATGAGTAAGTGTACTTCTGGAATAATATTCATCTTAGGTTCTCAGTGAGTAAAATCAATATTCACTCTCATCATGCGGAAAACTATGCCATGTGGCATGCTGTTTGACATGTCATAAAACTGACGCATGAGTGGCCGAATGATGATAATAAATCTGCTAAAAATCATCAAAGTATCACCATGACACATGTATCCAGCACTTACCATTTCAAAAGCTCTAAACACAAAGAGCCAAACTCAAGTAAACTAAGTCCTTACAGGTCCTCTTTGTCGTGTTTTTAATCCTCCCAATTACATGTGGCTTTCCCATGCGAAGAGGGTGTTCTTGCCTTCAGTCAATGTTTGAAGAGTCTCAGACCAGGAAAGGCTAAGTGACTTGTGACACAGTAATTAGTGACAGAACCAAAATTAGAACTCCAGCATCCACATTCTTTTCAAACCTTATTGAAGTAGCAGAGATGTAACATAAATCCCAAAGGAAGAGAAATTTTGACCAACTGTTTTTTGGTTAGTGAATTAAGAAGGCTGGAAATCTTGGTGATTCCCAGTCTTCAAAGGATCCTAATGTAAAATTTAACAAAGTCTCATTCTTTTAATGATTCTGGGACAATAGGAAGCTTCTCATTCTGAAAGGATCTAGGAAAAATGTGAACCTCTAACTGCATTTAGAAGACCCTCTTTGTAGACTTTATGGGTAGGGCGGTGGGGACTTCGTGTGTGACCTGGTGAATTCTGGTTTTAGAAAGATCACTTTGAAGTATGTGTGCCATAGTGGGCATGACAGCTGGCCAGCAGATAGTGTCTGATAAACCTGTATGTTGTGTCAGAAGGTCAGTGAGGAAGCAGGGAGGATACTTCTCAGGGCCAGTTTGAGCCTTGCTTTGCCAGCCATTGAATACACTGAATCCACTGAAATAGGTATTCCTAAGTTTTACCACCTCTGAAAAAACAGCCAGTTGGAGTCTCCATAATCTGCTCCCTCCTCTCCAGAGCTCAGAAAGAAGTCTTGGAGATGGACCTTTGAGTCCCTTCCCACTTCTCCTGGACTCTGCATAAATGTCATCCGGCAACAACCCCTGTTAGTATTCATGCTGGATTTACAACAGCAAAACATTCTAATTGTCAATCTTTTCTTTTGATGGGTGAATGCAGGTCATTCCCACTCAGCATGATAAGCCTATACTTGGTTTTATTTCTTCAATTTTGTGTTTATTTACTACTTATTTTTCTTTGTTGTTGTATCTTCTTTTCCTTTTTAATTTTTGCTGATGTAATGCAGCATCTTTTAACTCTCTTTTTTGCTTATGGTTAATTTGGAAGGTGGATGATACTTCTAAGTTTATTACATCATTATCATGTTGACAGAATCTTAATTGAATGTCTATTTATTTATGTATCATTACAGTGCCCTTGTCTGATGTGCCTAATCCCTATCCCCTGACATGAGAACTTTGGGATGTTCTTCCCTTCCACACTCACACTGCCTCAAGCAGGTGCACCCTGGCCCCGACATATTTACAGTGACATCATCATTCTGGACATCTGTTCCTGTCTTGTGATCTCTCTAACCCAATGATTAGAAAACTTACTTTATTATTTTCAAACACGTCTAACTCTCTTAATTCCAGCACAGGTAAATGTGTCTTCCGATTACCCTGAAGTATCTTTGATGAAACTGAATATATTAGTTTTTAAGTTACTAGTAGTAAATTCCCATTTCTTGGTAGAAACGAAGTGTAGGTGTATAGGGAAGACTTAAGTTCACATCTTTGCTCCCTGTAAGATTCACACTCTTATTTAGTTTTAAAAAACTCACCCCATTTTTCAGAGTTGAAAACTGAGCATAACCCACAACTCGCACAACTCCTACTACCTCCCTGTTCCAAGAATATTGAGTTTTCTATGTAAAATGACTTACTGAACTTTGTGGCTTTAAAAATATTAAAAAAAATTCTTTTAGCCTGCAATAATTAAAGAAAAAGTTCACATTTTCTCTGTAAATGGCACCTTGTGCTACCACTGTTATAATAAACTAAGTCTGTCAAATAGCACTTTTTGGTCATTCTAAGTAAAATAAGAATTTTGGCATTTGAAGCCTTCTTATAAAAATTCAAAATTACATTTTGGAAAGTGGAACTTAAATATGTAGAGAATATGTAACACAACTTGAAATTGTTAGTCAAAAAATGCTATTCTTCACTGCTTTGGCCTGTAAGATTGATCAAAGTCAGGGAAGATTTGCAAGTGTAGAGAATCAGAAATTGAGGATATAAACCTCCTGTGGGTCATGCCTGACCATGATGCTTGTATCTACTCTGCTTGATGAAAAGCAAAGAAGAAGAAACAGGTTGTCCCCAAGCAGGGTGACAGACACAAGAGTTCTGATTCAGCTGGCCACTGGTACTGTTAGAATCTGTTAGAGCCATGTTGATGCAGACATAGCACTTTCAATAAGCAATAATGGTTATTTTATTTTATTTTTTTATTCATATGGTTGTCAACGTGTATGGTCATTTAAAGTTAAATTTTTTGAATTTGATAAATTGATTTTTTCATGAAACATCACCACCACCACAAATACACTCTCTTCTGCACCCACAATTAAAGCTCTGTTTATCTTGTACTATTTAGGACGCATACAAAAATCTCATAGAAACACCTGTTAGTTCTTATTTAATTATGATGAAAGTTTCTGGTGTATATGAATCCATTTCTGCATCTTTCTTACTGATCTTTTGGTAGATAAGTTATAGGATAAACATTATGAATTTAGAGTCCATCAGCGCAAGAACACAGACTTTGCTGCAAGTTCAAATACATAGCATAGTTTAATACATAACAGCTGATGAATGAAAATGTCTAGGGAAATGAATATGTGAAGAATAATGTAAATTCATATCTAAAGGTTTTTGAAAGTTATTTTATTTGTGTATGATAACTCTTTTCATTGTAGAACACATATGTGGTACCAAGGGAAAAGTACTTTAAATGTTTGGGGCAATAATATATCCAATCACCTTGAAGGAAAAGAAATATCTGAAAATCATTTTCATATCTAGCTTAATGTTCAAAACTTCTTTTTGTTTCTTATTTCTTAGCAAGTCTCTTTAGCTTCTATGCTTCAGCTTCTGGAACA